AAAGTAAAAAGGTTAACGGGACATAAGTTACTAATATTCCAGTGTTATGACAGAATTAAAGATGGTTTTTCATTCCGGGAAAGAAACTTGCAGGGGTCCAATACATGGAAAATTGCAAGAGATGTTTTTTTCCAAATGCAATTAATGCGGTGTTTGTGATAAATTAAGTACTGTTACACTTATATAATAACTAATAGATCTATAAAATGTAGTCTGTCTTGTAAAGTGTTCAACTCCTATATTGATACATCAATTAAGTGGACTATTTACTTTAATTTTCTAAAATGTCAGGGCATTGTAAAATACGTAATAGTAATGCTACAAGAATGCAGAATTAATCTGGTATTGGAATGGTTTTATTGGCTTTAAAGTCCTGTTGACAGCTAAGGTCATTAACGGACCTGTCTCTATTTGATTAATAAACGCGTGCATGGTGGTGTGCAAGAGGCAGGATAAGTTAGCGTATGTTGGATTCAGAATAAACTAAAGGAGACTTATGTCGAAATGTATGAGCGCCACTATGTGAATGCAGTGACCTTTAGCCATCTACTATTATATACTACGAAATTAACGGACATGTAAAGCAAAGGTGAAATGATTTTAGTCTGATTTATAGAGGAATAACAGGTTAATGCTTTCTGTACAGATCATGGCCTCGACAAAGGGCGTCTAGTTTTCTCACCCACACTGACGTGCTGATTACAGTTACATCACCTCTGGTTTGGCCCCAAGGTTCATCGTCTGGTCACTTGTACAGCTATCCAAATGTAATTATACATGTCGGTATCTGGTGGCTAAAGCCAGTTAACAGAGGCATGATACATACCACACAGAAAGTCATCCTACTTGTTAGGGCTGCCAACCGTCAGATGAGCACGATACCAAAACAATTAATAGACACGAAGACAAGTGTCTTGTATCATTCGGGCGACTGTTATTTCAGACGTACTCCGACTCACTTTATAATTATTTTCACTCTTTGTCGTGCTTGTTCGTCGGTATGTTTTGCAACACACTTGAAACATTAATGAAATAAGTTTGATACAAAAAAAGGCGGACGCAATTAAATCATTTTTATCTGAAACGCGTTAGCGGGGAATATTTAATTTAGCTTCGTCTGTCCGCCTGTGCATTGCGGGAAAAAGCTCAATGATATAGTACGAGAAGATAACTTCTTCCGTGCGATATGCTCGACTAGTTACTCATGGATCAACATAAGGTTGAATTGCAAATTATCGATTTGAAAAATATCACAAATGAAAATGTATTGAATACAAATTTAACTGTTTAATATCTTTCAATTGAAGATAAAGACCAGCTTAAAAAACCCAATTTTTTTCTGATTTCCTTTTAATCCGACATGACTTGGTATCCAAATTAGGATCCGGTGCCAAAACACTAAAATCCTGTTTATACGAAGAACAAGGTTTTGTATGAAGATATTGTCAAAAGTTCCAACATTTAATACTTTGTAGTACAATGTAGAAGGTTTTGGATTTATTATTTTCAACTTCATTCAAAGCTAGACCTACCGTTAAACTACTGCTGAAACATAAGCGGAGGTGGATAAAAAGTATTTATATTGATGTTAAAATTCATAGAAACCGTTTGATTTTATATTGCAAAACGAGTAAAGTGTGTATATTATTCACCGTGCCACTACCACAATAGGATGACAGTCGATATCAAGTTTATGCACATCTATAAAACAAATAAACCTATTACGCTTATGCCCTAGCTGTGCCTTTTGCTACCGAGTAATTCCAATTTTCATTATTTCTGCTGTTTGCGTGGAAACAAACACCTTTCCTGGTTTCCTGGATTTTTCGAGTATAGAATGAAATCAATTTTCACACATCTCTGCAAAACTTTTAACATATTATGCCATTTTTATGTTAACGCAAGTGATACAAAGTAGAAAATAAAATACATCATTATTGCTTTTAACGATGTTTTATCTGTTGTGAAGTCATTGGACAACTGTGTTTCTAAATGCTGCTGCTGTTGCTAATGATAAGTTTGATTATTGTATACTCACATCGTACTGGTATCTCGCAACATTCTGACAATTGGCTACAAAAAGGTCACTAAGGATAAGCAATCGAAATGACAGAACTAATCAGGGAAACACCTATTGGTATAAGCTGCAATAGTTAAATTATACAAGTTGTGTTGCCTTATGAACACAACAATCATTCTATTCCTTTTTGTTTTTATTTAAATTTATTTTCAAATAAAACTTGTCTTCCGTCTCTGACACCTTCATCCTTTATTCATGTTTATTGTACTTCATACTTCAACACTCCTCCATCTCAAAATCATATGCATACGGTTTTGTTCCTTATTTGCCACTGGTCACATGATATATGATCCCAGCTTGCCAAGCTCATTGACATCCCGTCTGGACATTTATTAATATGATAAAACTGCATGATTTGGTTTTTAGGTAATGTCAGCATATTACAGACTTAGCAAACCAGGGTTTTCGTATGATAAACAATTATGTACAGATATTACAGATCTGTCAAGGAGTATCAATCAGCATGGTATACGTGTCCAGCGGGCTTGCGCAACATTCGAAACACAATAAACCTACTTTGCGCCCAGTAAATTAATGTAAACATGGATATTGGATAAGGTTATGATTACAGAAGCATATAAATTGTAGATAGAAACGAACAGCACACCCAGAGGAAAAGTCATCACCAGGTGTCTAGACTTCATACTCATAATAAGTGCCACAAATGCAATTGTAGGATCATGTATCAATCTGGAGCTGATAAAACAATCAAATTTCTCTACTATTTCACATTGAGTGTAGTTTTAACACTAGTAACGAACTATATCTAAATATATTACGTGTCCTTTAATGCCAATTTATTATGGAAAGTCATACAATTAACCTCTCACTAACGGTAACATTTAGGATCGGTCCAACTTTCAAGCATCTATACATATAACCATACTTCTTAATCTGTAAAAAATACGATTTTAAAACCCAAAAATCAAAACACAACATGCTCATCAACCTGCGGTAGGTATACGGGCTGTTTTTATTTGGGTTTAGCCTAGTAACCTCTAGGCTCATTTAAGGACGTGCCTCCATGTGTGTTATTGAGTGTTTTTTTTTTTTTTTTTTATTAGGCTAAGCGTCCTATGGACAGTTGAGGTTGGTTTCATTTTATTATGCTTAACGTCATATTTCCTGCTGTACTTGCATCTCGTCGATAGCGAGGGTCAAATCCGTTTTTTGATTACTTCCTTCCTGAAATACCATGCCAGAGGCACCCGACAAAGTATTCAACCCAGTCACATGATACTGACGATGGCTTAACCAGTTGTTCGTCGTTTACGTGTATCATGTACGTAGTTAACAGTTGTATAAGTAATCTTAAAATAGCAGATAACATCATTTTTATTACCTGAATTAACATAAGAAATTATTTTGTTATAAAAACAATACTATTTATTTATTAGAATAGAGATATATAAGCATCTAACGGTACACATACACACATGCATGCATAAACAACGACCTGAACGGTCAATAGGAGTTAATCAAAATATAATCATATAAACTTCAGTTCATGGCATACTGTATTGTGTTAATTTGACTCTTTCATTCGATTAGTTGCTTTCAGTTGACCTTCCTAAAATAAATCAAATGTAGGCCGGCTTTGGTTGAAGTGCCACTCTATCGAGGTCAAGCAGTACTACAGTACTTACAACGCATGGTAAATGGAAAACACAATACCGCTCAGTAAGTAGTAAAGCTTTTTAAAACGTATTTGTTGAATGTTGCCTTTTTATAATACAGATCTTTGACAGAATTTACAATGGAAATTGTAAAGCTTTGCAAACATATAAAGATTAAAAAACTTTGCTTTTGTCATTCGACTTTTTGAAGGCCAGTTCTGTAGGCTGGTGGGCTAACTAGGCATTCTGTTTTGGTTTTTATTGGTTTACGACGGATCGTCATTTTTAATCATTAAGTGCCATAACCACGTCAACAATAGACGTCAAAAGAAAAAACCCATTGATTATAGGGCGGTGACGGTTTCGGTGGTTCAAGTTGGTTTTGCTGTTTTTGACATTGCCAACAAAGCAATTTCTACACCGGGGCAATCTCCACAATAATCTCTAAACAGGTTTAACCCTTCCTCCTGCACACACACGTAAGCACGCATTCGTGTACACAACAAACATGGTGGCACGTCCTTAAATGACCTTAGCTATTTAAAGAACGGAAGCAAAACGAAGCTTGACCGTATGAATGAGTTTACGGATAAAATTTCTAACCTAGTTTAGATGATAAGGTCATCCCTGGGTTTTTGGAAAAGTGTTTTGTTTATTTCCTTTCTAATGAATATTTTGAGTTGAAATTTATAAATTTACTAATTTGAGTACACTTCCGTAAAATGCATATTCATTACATCTCTCCTTTTGCTTTATATTAAGTTATGGATTCTGGACACATCTAAAACTTGACAATTTCAAATATCTCAATCTTAAGTGAATTAAAAGGTGCAGGACACCCTTTATATGCTATAACTATAAGATATTAATAGTTAATACTGTATATTATAAATATGATATAATATGTGCTCAACACCTGGGGCTGAAATGAGTTCCGCCTATTTCCAATTATAAAGTTTGATTGTACATAAAAAGCATTTTGGGATAAGGATGCAACTTATATATTAGTCAAATTATGATATGCAATTTCTGAAAGTTTCATACTTAACCTACAATGCTTTTTTTTTTTTACTTAAAAACACATTTTTCTTAAGTCCATCTCCTTGCCTAACAGTAAATATGTCTTTACTGTATTAGATAAACTAAGTTACAGAATTGTAGAGCCACAACATAGAGCAAAAAACGAGACTGCGGTCATCATGTGGGGAAAAACACGACAGGACATGTCGTCCACTTTCTGGCTTTCCAGTCACTTTATGCCCGATCTTCCGATTGACAGACCAGGAGATGGATACAACACATAGGGTGGCAAAGAGAGTGGTAATACAGAGGGTGTGAACGAGGATGGTAACACAGAGGGTGTTAACGAGAACGGTATCACAGAGGGTGGTAACGAGGATGGTAACACAGAGGGTGTTAACGAGAACGGTATCACAGAGGGTGGTAACGAGGATGGTAACACATGGGATGTTAACGAGAGCGGTAACACAGAGGGTGTTAACGAGAGCGGTATCACAGAGGGTGGTAACGAGGATGGTAACACATGGGATGTTAACGAGAGCGGTAACACAGAGGGTGTTAACGAGAGCGGTATCACAGAGGGTGGTAACGAGGATGGTAACACATGGGATGTTAACGAGAGCGGTAACACAGAGGGTGTTAACGAGAGCGGTATCACAGAGGGTGGTAACGAGGATGGTAACACATGGGATGTTAACGAGAGCGGTAACACAGAGGGTGTTAACGAGAGCGGTATCACAGAGGGTGGTAACGAGGATGGTAACACATGGGATGTTAACGAGAGCGGTAACACAGAGGGTGTTAACGAGAGCGGTATCACAGAGGGTGTTAACGAGGGTGGTTTAGAGGATGGTTATACAAAAAAAGATATGCACAAGGAATTCATTTTTGCATTGGAAACATATTTTGGATCACTCCACTCAGTAAAGGTTGCCTATGTATTACACAAATTGCTTTTTGTATTCATAAAAGAACAAAGAAAACTTTTAAGGAAATCATATTTCACAACAAAGATTATAATATACATGACATGTCTTATATCTTTTTATGAAATTTGATATTAGATTAATTTGAATATAAAACATTATAATAATTCATTCAAAGTAATAGAAAAGTGTCACATTATGAGCATTTTTTTTTATTACAAGAACAATGTTTGGTTTGGTTTTATTTTGTTTAAGGTCATTCCAATATGGCTGCCACACCAAACTGTATATCAAATTCAATAATGCATTCCGTTAGCATTAAACAATCAATGTCCCAAAAAAGATCCCCCTCCAATATTTTTCAAACATATTTGAGGTACATGCACACTAAATTTCGGAAAAAATATATTTAATACAATATGTAACTGATGAAAAAACTTCCTTTTTTATTTTTTCATTTTCCAAGCTGAATACAAGTCACAATTCAGGACAAAATCCATTTAACCTTGTAAATATCATAAGGTTAAATGTCCATGGAGATGCATTTGTCGAGAACAATGTAAGAAAATGTGTCAAATCTCAAGAATAATGGCATGTATTTCCCCTGAATAAATACAACTGAGCACAAAGAGAACAACGCTGACTGAGGTTAGAAAAACGCATGCAAAGCAAGTGAGATTTTAACCGACACCATTCACTACAGGTTCTCACTCAGGTAGTATGGCTTGACTTGTATCAAAATTCGTGTTAGCTTTATGCATTATTGTAAAATATCCAATAAATAAAATGTCATTATTCTCGAGATTTGAAGCATTTTCTCACATTTTCTTGACAATAATAACNAAGTTATGGTAAGTATTACATCATGAAAATTGGTTTTACTTCAAAAACCTCAAATTCATTGCAATTTTGCGCTATCCAAATTCTGCATTCAAAAGTTACTTTTCAGACAAAAACAACAATATTTTCGACAAACATTTCTGCAAAGGTAATTATTGACATTGTTCTTGGCATGAGTATACGGAGCGACTTCCTTACTTTATTCGTTTTGAGGAAAGTTATGAGCCCATTCAAAATATATTCACTGACATGACGCTGTATGAAATACCTTAACGTCCTATTAACAGATAATGTCATTTAAGGACGTGCCTCCATGTATGTTGCGTAAACGTGCAAGTGTGTATGTGTGCTACTATAACGGGAGGATCATACTTGCTGTCGTTTGATAAGAAACCGTTGCCATGACAACTATTTTTTGCCCAACAAACAAAACCCAAATTGTGGTCCATATTTTTATATTCATTTTAATTGTTTTTCAGACAGAAAGTGAGACATTTCTAAAGAATTATCACATATTGTTCAGTCATTTCTCAATTCAAATCAACCACGATGGTCATCTTACAACGTTCGTTCATCGGCCTTACAAATGTGCGCAAGCAATAATTGTCCAGTTTTTTATCGTTCATCGTGCGCACATCTTTTACTGTTGAGCGATCCCACAACTGAAGTTTGATGAATTGATTATAGTGAATGTCCATTTGTTCAGTGTTGTTTTGTCCAAAAAGACTTGCATCTTCCATTGGCCATAAACAAGTCAAACTCAAACAAATTGAAAGGTCTTAATGGAGAACTGGTTGTATCCTCAGGAACATGACACATCACACAATTCATAATTCTAACGAATGTGTCTACATACAATTTAAGTCGCCTTTTTTAGAATCAGGCAAAAACAAGACTTGGTTACCAAAGCAAAATTCCAGACTTTTAAGAAATAAATGTATATACTTGTCATATAATTGATATGTAAATGTCGTTTGTATTGATCAAACCATCCATTCATATTCTGAATTGTTTGTTCATAAGTTCTGCCTATGTCTGTAAATTGTTTGGGTTTCAAAATGTTTTTCTGAGGTTTAATGCCAGCAAAATTAACTTTGGCTTTTTCGAAATCCCCAACGTATAAGCAAAGGACAGAAAGATAGGGAGAGGGCACATTAGTCTACTCTTATGATTTACGATAATATGCGTTGAGATATACATACTTTGGCTTTTTCGGGTTTAAAACCTTATTGACAACAAGGGTCATTAAAGAACGTACTTTAATTTGTATATACATATTGGCTCGCTACATATATATATAATGCAATTCATTACCAATATATGGACGTTAGTACAAATCATGTGCATGTATTTCATTAATACTTATTATGAGGGATGATTAGAACATTTCCAACCATACAAGTTATTATAAGGAATACTAACAACAATAATATCGGATTTCACCACTAATGAAGAGGTACCGTAACCTTACAGAGATTGCCTCACGCTGTAGACCCGTTCACGTTCGCTGTTCCAACTTGGACATTTTTTCCTTTGGTTTGGTTACAATATACCTGCTGTAACAGATTATTAAAGAAAGTGTCCCCATCTGTAGGACTTTTGGAGCTTATAGGTGATATGTAACATACAGCCAAACACAACGTAAAATTACTGATTTTTGACACAAGCTGGATCCACACTGTCATCTACACTATCATCTAGCTTCACTACGTCGAATGTATCCAGTATAAATTCTTTGATCAAGACACCTACTCTGCCGGAGCCACGATTAGCGCTTTTATTTATTGAAGTTCTGTTTTTTCCTATCCATTTGTACAGTTGTGGGAACGCACAACGCACCAAAAATTCCGTGCGCATACCGTGCATACCTCGTTAATACAACGTCCGCACATCGTCCACACATGGTGCGCACAACTGTGCGATTTAACAATCGTTCGCCCCGTTGTGCGTTTCTCTCCGCACATCTGTGCGATATGGTACAATTTGTTGATCAATATTACGGAATGGAAAAAATACGGAATGCTCGTATGCAATAATGTACACTGCATATATCACTGTAATTTCTCATCACTTTGATCAGAGACGTATACGTGTATGCTATAATTAAGACTATGCACAAGTTTACAATGCGTGTAATACAGTATACACTGACCGCTAGACTGTCAGGAATGGGTTTGGCTCGTCGGTAACAGAACAGGTAAATAACAATTTGATGAGTGACCGGAGTTTTACCTGGCCTGTACTTGACACATAGAGCTGATATATGATACCGTATGACCGTTATGAAAACTCAACTGGACGGTTAATATTTGTTATTTGCATTCGTTTTGGTCTATAGCTCCCCTTCATCTGGTTTTCACACCTTGGCGAGTTAATTAAGTGCCCCGGGCGGGGTAAACTACGGTCCAGGTACAAAGTGCCAATGTTTACCAGTTTAGCCGAGACTGTGTTGTAAATTTACATGTGTCGATTAAGGTCGTTTAAAAACCCCACAAAACACCATTTCTAAATTTAAGAAAGTATAGACAGAAAGATAAGCTTATAGATGTAGCTAGAGTATAGAAACATACTAAATGTGTATGTTCTAACACGAAACCGTATATATTGTCAAGCCATTCCTTAATTTACACCAACCACGATTGTTATCGCCCAACGTTCGTCGATCGTCCGCAAACATGTGCGCAAGGAATGATCGTCCAATTTTTTATCGCTCGCACTTCGTGCACACATCGTTCACACACCGTGCACACATCGTGCGCACATCGTGTAACGTTGTGCGATCCCACAACTGTATCCAGGTATTCGAAGACATTCATCGTTTTCTTAAAATCGTTTCACATTGTGCTAAAATATCACAATTTGAATAATCTAAAACTGCACGACGGAAATTTGAATTATAATTGGGTTTCAGAGACCAACTCCTACAGTTCCATCAACAAGCCGCACGTAATCCTATTGTTTCTTTTCCACGAGACGGTTACCGACGAATTTATAATTGCTATCTCTCCCCAGTTCTTTTAAAACAGTTCTGATGGACGCCTGGAAGTTACGTGTTTCAGTCGGTACGTCGTTTTCATTATAAACTTTCTCATACCGAGCCTGGTTTTTCAGAACACGTTTCTTTTTCATGATATCCCGTTTCTGATTCATATTACCAAGTTCCACTAAAACCACGCCGGGGTATCGGTTCCTGGAATCTTTTCTACACACTGATTTTATGTCGACATCGGACAATGCTTATCCATCTTTAAACAAAGCCTGAATTTTGTTCATTGTTATCGCAGAATTGTCTTTCTCACTTTCGTCATACTGCATGTTACGAATCACTATGTTTTGTTTCACTTGTTTATCAACAGTTTGGTTGTTTGTAAAATCAGCACAGTTTTGCTTCACGGTTTTGATTTCCTCGTGCATTTTATTTATTTCAATGTTTACATCAAGTTTCATTTCCGACAATTTTTCATCTATTTTTGTTTCCATTACTCCCGTCATTTTTTCCGCCATTTTGTCAATCAATTTTTGTTCCATGTTCGTCTCCATATGTGAAATTCGTTCTCCTAATCTCGCCGACACATTCTCTATATCTGACGAAAGTTTTAAGACATTTTGAGTAAGTAACTTCATCATATCGTATAGATTGTCCGACTGTGGGTTTTCAGAACTGTCCCTTTCTATCGCACTGCGCGATTTTTTGTTTTCAGCTGAATCATCATTTGTGGACAATTGTCGCTTTCTAGAGTCACCATGTAGGCTAGGGGTATTTACAAAGTTTTCACTTACGCCACAAGTCGACTTGAGCCCATTTGTAACTACAGTTCCTTCCGCGTGACAGTCCGTCACCTTGACTCGTTGGAGACCTCCATTTCCCGCCATGACCTCATGCACGAATTGCCCGGCGCCATTTGTACTCATAGGATATATCGTCGTGAGGTCCATATTATTGACCAATTGGTAAATGATAGATTATACAGGTACTTACTGGTAGTCTATACACACAGTTTGTTAAAATAATGCACACGTTTTGCACAATAAAACATGTAATTATGTAGTTTATCTCTCTCCATTTTCAAGTACATCCATACACCTTGACGCATGCGTTCTACCAGGTCTTACCTGTCTGAAGAAACTATGACTGTCTGGCACACCCTGAGGGGTGTGTAGTGCAGAGGGTATATGAGTCTGATGTCAGATAGCATAGGGACTGAGACCACAGTCAAACTTCAATATATCTATAATATGTATTTCTCCGATTGTACATGTACGTTTGTACCTAAACAGGCGTGGATCAAGGAGGGTGTGGGCTAAGGGCATGGCTTTCTGATCAGGGTCCAGGGGCAATTAGTCATGATAGAGTAGAGTAGTGGGTAGGGGTTTAAAACATTCGCATCTCTGCCACCCATGACGTTAATAAAATATTGATAAAAATCCTCATTTTCTAGAACAGAGCTATTACTGGGGGGGGTTTTCTTAGCGAAAAAAATATAAAAATGTTTTGGTCTTGATCTTTTTAAACGATCCAGCATGTCACCTTCTTGTCGTTTGTAAATACGTTTAAGTTAGTTAACAAGTCCTTTACCAATATTCCATGACAGAAATGACAAGTCACCCTCCTGTATGTCCTACCTGTTGTTCAGCGGCGGGTGGTTCCCAAGGCCATTGAGGGGCCCTGTTAGATGACGCGTGGGCATCATTCCTGTATCTAGAATGCAGCTGGCCGTTACGATTGTTGGCCGCTTCGCTGTGACCATCATGGGGTTGCGTTGATTGCCTTTGACCATCAGTTCCCTGATTTTCATCGCATCATTGCCGATCTGTTTATGGTGCTTTAGCACAGGGTACAACTTCTGTGCACATTCCAAAATTCTATTATGTGATCCAGACTAAGCTCATTGAATACAAAGTCTCGTAAAAGGGATTCTGAATCCTCATTTCTAACCTCTCCTTCAAGCCCAGTGGAAATCATATTGTTTTTCATGGATCGACACTGTAGATCTATCACTGTATCTTGTAGTGCGTTCCGGTTTTCGTGCACCTGTTCATTCTTTTGACACAATTCGTTTATAACTTGCTCCTGCTTTCCTATCCTCTGGGATAACTGTTTACCGCCAAATTCCTTTTTTCGACTTCCTCTAGCTTATTTGCTACAACATTAACTGACCGTTCAAACACTTCAGCCCTCTTTTCAACCGTTACAACTATTCTTTCCAAACCATCTACCTTTGCAGTAAGATTATTCAACTTGTCATCAATCTTGTCCAACTTCCCTAAATTTTCTGAAATGAAGTCTAACTTTCTGTTAATTTCTGTGACGTCATCAGTGACCGCTTCTTTTTGGAAATTTTGGCGTTGACGATGATGACGGTCCTACACTGTTGGATTTTGTTGGACTGCTGTACAACACTCCGTTGGCTGCATTTAGGATAAAACTCAGTAGCCCAATTGATTGATTGCTAACGTCCGAGCTGTCATTTACTTCTCCCTTCTTGTTTATTTTTATTTTTACCCATATTGATGCAAGTCACATACTAGGTGGAAACTATTTTACCACAGTTCAGTTTCTTCCTCGTGTGACATTTCAACAGGTAAAACCAAAACCACTGGAGCGTGACAGCAGTGTCCCACTCAGGTGTGAACGCGTTCACTATCAGTTCAAAAAAGTTCAAAGTTCAATATATAAACAAAGACAAACAATAGGACCGACCGAAAACTGTCAATAAAAATGAATTCCAATCAATATATACTGTTCTAAACTGATATACCTGTTTACAGCTGTACGTGATGGATAGACAATGAACTGGATTAATTGACATGGAC